GCCCATTGTTTCTCGCCGGCGCCTGGGATCGAACCCAGGACCACAGGATCACAAGTCCAGCGTGCTGTCCACTCGGCCGACCGGCTCCCTAAATTATTAAAGGCAATTATTAAACAGAACAATTTCAACCCCAAATTCAGGTGAAGTATTTTCCTGAATCTTTATAGAATGTGAAGATGACTTTAGCAAGCCGCCCTTGTCTTGCATAGTTAACCAATCATCGCAATTGTGGTGTAGATCATTAAGAAGGAAGGGATAGATCACTTGAACTGTAGGCCAAAAATCTTAGTCTTTTTTGGGAAATTTAATTGAATGATTACAAAAATCCAGTCATTTTAATAAAAAAAAAAACTGAAAAATTTAGGATTAACAACACATCTATAATTAGGGCCCCTTATGTTAAATTTTTTTATTAACTGACCTTTTCTAAAAATTGTAAGAGTAACGGGGAAACTGAATGATACAGTTTCAACTGTATCATTCTGTATACAACTGAATGATACAGTTTCAACTGTATCATTCTGAATACAACTGAATGATACAGTTTCAACTGTATCATTCTGAGTACAACTGAATGATACAGTTTCAACTGTATCATTCTGAATACAACTGAATGATACAGTTTCAACTGTATCATTCTGAGTACAACTGAATGATACAGTTTCAACTGTATCATTCTGTATACAACTGAATGATACAAATTTATAAACGGGTGTTACATGGGTGATATTAATATGTTGCTAATATATTATCCACTGAACAAAACACTTAATAATGGATAAATGATGGATTAATAAACTGAATATATTAAGATTCAGAAAAGACCTGGGTAAATACTTGTTTGGAAATAGGGGATATTAACTTATAGAATAGGAATAGATTGCCAGGCAGCACAACTGACGTGGGACCTTTTAATTGTTTCGAGCGTCAGCTAGACATTTACATGTACGAGTTTATATATAACTATATATAATAAAGTTATATAAGTTAATTATAACACGAGTAACATTATATATATATATATATATATATATATATATATATATATATATATATATATATATATATATATATATATATATATATATATATTTATATATATATATTGATATTATTATTATTATTATTATTATTTTTATTATTATTATTATTAATGCCTTAATGTCACCATTAATAAAATAAAACGTAGATCACATTGACGTTTTCCTCAATTTAAGTCTACTTTCTTGAGACAGATTCACAGAGGCGGTAAATTCAGCGCCATATTGGCGTAACTACTTGCCTCCTGGCGTAACTACTTGCCTCCTGGCGTAACTACTTGCCTCCTGGCGTAACTACTTGCCTCCTGGCGTAACTACTTGCCTCCTGGCGTAACTACTTGCCTCCTGGCGTAACTACTTGCCTCCTGGCGTAACTACTTGCCTCCTGGCGTAACTACTTGCCTCCTGGCGTAACTACTTGCCTCCTGGCGTAACTACTTGCCTCCTGGCGTAACTACTTGCGCCCTGGCGTAACTACTTGCCTCCTGGCGTAACTACTTGCGCCTTGGCGTAACTACTTGCGTCCTGGCGTAACTACTTGCGCCCTGGCGTAACTACTTGCGCCCTGGCGTAACTACTTGCCCCCAGGCGAAACTGCCTGTAACTACTTGCCCTGACGTAACTACTTGCGCCCTGGCGTAACTACTTGCCTCCTGTCGTAACTACTTGCGCCCTGGCGTAACTACTTGCCTCCTGGCGTAACTACTTGCGCCCTGGCGTAACTACTTGCCTCCTGTCGTAACTACTTGCGCCCTGGCGTAACTACTTGCGCCCTGGCGTAACTACTTGCGCCCTGGTGTAACTACTTGCGCCCTGGCGTAACTACTTGCGCCCTGGCGTAACTACTTGCGCCCTGGCGTAACTACTTGCGCCCTGGCGTAACTACTTGCGCCCTGGTGTAACTACTTGCCTCCTGGCGTAACTACTTGCGCCCTGGCGTAACTACTTGCGTCCTGGCGTAACTACTTGCGCCCTGACGTAACTACTTGCGCCCTGATGTAACTACTTAAGCCCTGACGTAACTACTTGCGCCCTGGTGTAACTACTTGCGCCCTGGCGTAACTACTTGCCCCCAGGCGTAACTACTTGCGCCCTGGCGTAACTACTTGCGCCTTGGCGTAACTACTTGCGTCCTGGTGTAACTACTTGCCCCCTGGCGTAACTACTTGCCTCCTGGCGTAACTACTTGCGCCCTGGCGTAACTACTTGCGCCCTGGTGTAACTACTTGCGCCCTGGCGTAACTACTTGCGCCCTGGCGTAACTACTTGCGCCCTGGTGTAACTACTTGCGCCCTGGCGTAACTACTTGCGCCCTGGCGTAACTACTTGCGCCCTGGTGTAACTACTTGCGCCCTGGTGTAACTACTCGCGCCCTGACGTAACTACTTGCGCCCTGGTGTAACTACTCGCGCCCTGACGTAACTTCTTGCGCCCTGGCGTAACTACTCGCGCCCTGGTGTAACTACTCGCGCCCTGGTGTAACTACTCGCGCCCTGGTGTAACTACTCGCGCCCTGGTGTAACTACTTGCGCCCTGGCGTAACTACTTGCGCCCTGGTGTAACTACTTGCGCCCTGGCGTAACTACTTGCGCCCTGGCGTAACTACTTGCGCCCTGACGTAACTACTTGCGCCCTGGCGAAACTGCTTGCGCCCTGACGTAACTACTTGCGCCCTGGCGAAACTACTTGCGCCCTGACGTAACTACTCGTGCCCTGGCGTAACTACTTGCCTCCTGGCGTAACTACCTGCGCCCTGGCGTAACTACTTGCCTCCTGACGTAACTACTTGCGCCCTAACGTAACTACTTGCGTCCTGGCGTAACTACTTGCGTCCTGGCGTAACTACTTGCCTCCTGGCGTAAGTACTTGCATCCTGGCGTAACTACTTGCGCCCTGGCGTAACTACTTGCGCCCTGACGTAACTACTTGCGCCCTGACGTAACTACTTGCGTCCTGGCGTAACTACTTGCGCCCTGACGTAACTACTTGCGTCCTGGCGTAACTACTTGCCTCCTGGCGTAACTACTTGCGCCCTGACGTAACTACTTGTGACCTGGCCTAAGACTAGACAAGAAAAATGTAAGAAAACATAAATTATTAAATTTGGCACATCTATTTATGGCAATTTGTTCTCAACTAGACATGTTGCAGCTAAATGCTCTAGTGAATTTGCATGTGTGCGGAGGTAAGAAAATTTCCTTTGAGTTCTAGATGCTAAAAGTTGTTTAATGCTGCAAATCGCGAAATAAATCTTTTATTTATTGCTCGCTACTAGTGTAGGACGTCTGCATCATTGCTTTATCTTAGGGTAAGACAAAATTGGAGCCTGAAACGCGCATTTAGTATAAATCAAACTGTGGTGTGCTCGACCCAACGACTCCAGGGAGGTTGTGTTTAATCTTATATTAACCACATTCCTCCTTCCATGAATGGGTTATATAATATGATATATGACTCTTGATCGTATAAATTTCTTTCTCATAAGACGTTTTAACCTTTCTTGGGTTTTATCTCAGAATTCTCTCTGTCTCATATATATATATATATATATATATATATATATATATATATATATATATATATATATATATATATATATATATATATATATATATATACATGAACATGAGCTCAAAAATAATGTCGTAACATTATCAGATCGATGGCATGATCATTTTATATTGCATTTCACTGCATTATTAATTGTTATTTCACAATAAATAACACATTGGGTTCTTCACCAACTGATAATTCATATCGTTAGCTTTCATCGCTATTTTTTTCTAGTAGAACGATGTAACTTTATTTACTCCTACTTGTGCTTTTATTATTAATTTTTAAATTATTATTACTATCATTTGTATTATTTTTTATTTTTGTGAAGATTTAAATTTTCACCTGTATTTTAAATTATCACAAAATTTAGTGAGATCGTCCAAAAGATTTTGTACTTGTAACAGCCGAACTAGGTCGAAGGTGCAAAAAAATTATCCTGTTATAAAAAATAATGTTCACTTTTTGTACTGATAATTTTGTAACGAGAACGAAACGATAAAGAAGTCGAAAGTCAAACCAACACATTCCTATATGTAGTATAGCACATATATGTACTATTTTAAGCCTAGGATTGCTTGAATAGATTAGGTTAGGTGCTTTCCATTGTTTTTCCATTGTCTGGTTGTGCCATTTGGGGTAATTAAAAAATACAACAAAATTATCTATATGGGGAGATGAGTCACAATAACGTGGCTAAAGTATATTGACCAGACCACACACTAGAAGGTGAAGGGACGACGACGTTTCGGTCCGTCCTGGACCATTCTCAAGTCGATTGAGAATGGTCCAGGACGGACCAAAACGTCGTCGTCCCTTCACCTTATAGTGTGTGGTCTGGTCAACATTATCTATATGGGGTCCAATAATCCATTTTTATACTTTTGACCAAATAATTGCTATAAGTACACTATCATTTTAGGAGGATGGGCTGATATAGAAAATTATCATTTTCCAATACAGATGAAGATCAAAATATTGAATTTAATATATATTCTATAAACTACACTGTGTAAACAGGTGGGGCTTGTGACAAGTCAACACTACTGTCTATAGATGAAATCCATGAGTGTATTTCCATACTAATACCCTCACGGTGTAATCTCATGGGTGAATCCTCATACATATACACACCCCCACGGGTGTAATCTCACGGGTTACCCTACAAAGTTGTTCTTCCTCTCCTTTGATTGTCTCTGTGATCCGGTGCTAGGGGGGCCCTGAGAACGGTGCTAGGGCTACGCTGAGACAGGTGCTAGGGGGGGCCCCTTGAGAACGGTGCTATGGGCTACGCTGAGACAGGTATTAGGGGCCCCTGAGAACGGTGCTAGGGGCTACGCTGAGAAAGGTACTAGGGCCCCCCCTGAGAATACTAAGGTGCCTAAGGGCATGTGTAGAATGTCTTACCTTTCGCAGTCTTCGTCTCTCTCGCATAGTGGCTGCTTTCCGCCTGTCCACAGTGACGCTCTTTCTCTTGCAGGCTTTGCACGCCCACAGCAAGCACGTGCGGGGGTGGGCGTGCCCCGTGACGTGCGTGGAGGGCGCCAGGACGTGCGGGACGTGGGGATCGTCGTCGTCGTCGAGGTAGTCATCTTCTGATTTGATGTCGTAGTTACTATCGCTGTGATGGCCGTGAGAGTGTTGCTGGGAGCTGGTTAGGAAAGGTTCCGCCAGGTCTGCCGATGACGGGCGGGCGTCGTGCGCGGGAGAGTAGTGGATGTGGGCGTGCCTGTGGGCGTGGCTGTGGGCATGGCTGGGGTAGCTCGGAGACACGGAATGTGGGCGTGCTTCAGGAGAGAGGCTGCCTGAGTAACGCGGCTCGTAGCGGCAGGAGCTTAGCTCGGGCATCATAGTGGGAGATGGATCTCAGGCTGCCACAGCCTCCCAACCCCCTTTGTAACTGCTGTGTCCCCCACCCTCTCTCCGTCTCCTGCTGCAGCCACCAGCTGCTGTACCGTCCACCTGGAAGCCACGTCGGTATCTCACGTCTCCATCACCGCGATAGCCATTGGGACGAGCCTGTCTATATAGTGTGTCCCATTGAGCACCTACCGCAGGCAGGCTTACGTATCCCCGTCTCTCCTGTCACTGTTTCTTCTGTATAACCATACTGGCCATAGTGCTTTCTCCTGTCACAGACTCTAGCTCCGCGCACCCGGCTCCATCCACTCGGTGTACCAAGTCACTAACCACGAGCACACCTTGTTCAACATCGTCCCATCGCTGCCTCACAAACCATTTTTGGCAAAAAGTGAATTTTCCAATTATGAGGAGAGTGGGGCGGCCAGCGGGGCGGGGGGTGGGCAGTAACACAGTGTCGGATGATCACATGGCCTGTCGATCAGTGCCACACACTCACACGGGGCACAGGCTGGCACTGGCATCACCAGCGACACTGAGGGGTCACTTGGCACACCCACCAAGTCTTGGCGACGCCTCGAGGGGGCCCATACTGCCCGGAGCATCTCAACACTCATTTCTCATCATATATTCCCACGCTCATCACCGATGACTTGTACATACCAACACCTCTCTTAATTAATGGAAATGAAGGACTGTTAATATAGACTTTCGAGAAATATTAAAATGTTTGTTTTATATATATTATTTGTTTATTTCAAGTGTTGGCACCCCACAGTGCCAGACCAATGGGAAGGGCAGCGTTCTAGTGCGCCCTGCGTCTCAGCGAATCAGCGACGGGCATGCTCGAGGGAGTAACCAATAGCATAAGCCATTTTGACGGTGGGCGGAGACACATATATGACAACAAAAGCACGGGAAAAAACCATTTGATATGAAATGGGTATGAAATGAGAGCGGTTTATATATATACCCATAGTGCCCACGATGCCCATGGTACGGTCGTTAGTGTGGCTCAGATAGCCATGCTAACCCAACACTGGTAGCCCCCACAGAGTACCCAACACTGGTAGCCCCAAGAGTACCCAACACTGGTAGCCCCCTCCCACAGTACCCAACACTGGTAGCCCCCCTCCCACAGTACCCAACACTGGTAGCCCCCTCCCACAGTACCCAACACTGGTAGCCCCCTCCCACAGTACCCAACACTGGTAGCCCCCTCCCACAGTACCCAACACTGGTAGCCCCCTCCCACAGTAAGCAACACTGGTAGCCCCCTCCCACAGTACCCAACACTGGTAGCCCCCAAGAGTACCCAACACTGGTAGCCCCCAAGAGTACCCAACACTGGTAGCCCCCAAGAGTACCCAACACTGGTAGCCCCCACAGAGTACCCAACACTGGTAGCCCCCTCCCACAGTACCCAACACTGGTAGCCCCCTCCCACAGTACCCAACACTGGTAGCCCCCACAGAGTACCCAACACTGGTAGCCCCCACAGAGTACCCAACACTGGTAGCCCCCACAGAGTACCCAACACTGGTAGCCCCCACAGAGTACCCAGTACTGGTAGCTCCCTCCCACAGTACCCAACACTGGTAGCCCCCAAGAGTACCCAACACTGGTAGCCCCCAAGAGTACCCAACACTGGTAGCCCCCTCCCACAGTACCCAACACTGGTAACCCCCAAGAGTACCCAACACTGATAGCCCCCTCCCACAGTACCCAACACTGGTAGCCCCCTCCCACAGTACCCAACACTGGTAGCCCCCTCCCACAGTACCCAACACTGGTAGCCCCCTCCCACAGTACCCAACACTGGTAGCCCCCTCCCACAGTACCCAACACTGGTAGCCCCCTCCCACAGTACCCAACACTGGTAGCCCCCTCCCACAGTACCCAACACTGGTAGCTCCCTCCCACAGTACCCAACACTGGTAGCCCCCTCCCACAGTACCCAACACTGGTAGCCCCCCTCCCACAGTACCCAACACTGGTAGCTCCCTCCCACAGTACCCAACACTGGTAGCCCCCTCCCACAGTACCCAACACTGGTAGCTCCCTCCCACAGTACCCAACACTGGTAACCCCCCTCCCACAGTACCCAACACTGGTAGCCCCCCTCCAACAGTACCCAACACTGGTAGCCCCCTCCCACAGTACCCAACACTGGTAGCCCCCTCCCACAGTACCCAACACTGGTAGCCCCCTCCCACAGTACCCAACACTGGTAGCCCCCTCCCACAGTACCCAACACTGGTAGCTCCCTCCCACAGTGTAACAGACTAGGCTGTTGTAAGAATTATCCAGAGTGGTTTATCGACAAAAGAGAATGGGAAGCTGAGCCGCATGGTGACCTGACCCCCAGGGGAATTCGCGGTGGAAATAACCGACGCTTTGTTCATATCTGCGTATAATGAATCATCCTATAGTATTCAGTAATTTAGAGAAAATTAGCCTTTATTCATTTTGCATTAAAATTGTATTGTATAATAGTACTGGATACAATATCAAGAGTATTCTAATTATTGAGTTTAAGTCACCATCAGTGACGTCACGAATCAGATCTAACTTTTGAGGCGGAGTGACCGGCGGTCATAGGTCAGCAGGGTTGACATGTCTAATATTTCTCAAAGTTTTAATAACCATTTTTGTGATCGGGAACAGCTCTGCCGTTAGATGTTTGTAATTTAATTCAGTAAAATAATTCAACCAGTCTGGATCAATTAAGTACAACAGAGTTTAATTGTTATAACTTAACCTTGCTAAAGTAACTGGGTAAGCGATGCGGAACAATACAATACTCTGTCTGGGGTAGTCCAGACAAGGAAAAATCAGTGTGGTCACGGAAGCAGCTAGGAGAGGTCAAACATCTTACCTCTCCCCAAGAACAGGCCCAACACCTAGAACTGTGGTCGCCCAAGGTATAGTTGCTATTGTTAAGTATAGAAATAGTCTCATTTGCCACTCAGGTCAAGTAGGAGTGTTAAATTGATAGGGAGTGAACATATTTAGATTTTGTTTTAGTTTTCGTTTAATAAATTAAATTTGTTATTAATTTGCATTTTATTGTTTCCATGTGTTTTATGTGTATACTTGTCCTGGTCACGTGGTCCACACGAGGCAGAGTTGCATTGGGCGCCGATTCTAACATCGAATCGGAATTATCATTACCGTGTAATTTATTCCACACTCAAGGTCATCGTTTATAGTGGGGATCAAGCCCCTAGGTTGATTAATTAGCGTGATCGATCCAGACCTCGATCATTGCTCTTGTATTACTGGTCTGGTGGTGGCAGCAGAGGTGACTCTAGGGTTTTGTTCAGAGCTTAGGTCACGTCATACTGGGTGTAGAATCCTAAGTCGGTCAATCGTCTTAGGACCACGTGGCGTGGAGTTGGCTTTGGTAAAAGTTTTGGAGTCCCTTGGTTTAGAAATAAAAGTAAGAATACGGGTAGAGGGAGTAGAAAGAAGGAAGTAAAGAGAGAGGAACCCTACCCGTGTTACAACAGTACCCAACACTGATAGCCCCCTCCCACAGTACCCAACACTGGTAGCCCCCCTCCCACAGTACCCAACACTGGTAGCCCCCCTCCCACAGTACCCAACACTGGTAGCCCCCTCCCACAGTACCCAACACTGGTAGCTCCCTCCCACAGTACCCAACACTGATAGCCCCCTCCCACAGTACCCAACACTGGTAGCCCCCTCCCACAGTACCCAACACTGGTAGCCCCCCTCCAACAGTACCCAACACTGGTAGCCCCCTCCCACAGTACCCAACACTGGTAGCCCCCTCCCACAGTACCCAACACTGGTAGCCCCCTCCCACAGTACCCAACACTGGTAGCCCCCTCCCACAGTACCCAACACTGGTAGCCCCCTCCCACAGTACCCAACACTGGTAGCTCCCTCCCACAGTACCCAACACTGGTAGCTCCCTCCCACAGTACCCAACACTGGTAGCCTCCTCCCACAGTACCCAACACTGGTAGCTCCCTCCCACAGTACCCAACACTGGTAGCTCCCTCCCACAGTACCCAACACTGGTAGCCCCTCCCACAGTACCCAACACTGGTAGCCCCTCCCACAGTACCCAACACTGGTAGCCCCCTCCCACAGTACCCAACACTGGTAGCCCCCCACCCACAGTACCCAACACTGGTCCCAACACTGGTAGCCCCCCTCCCACAGTACCCAACACTGGTAGCCCCCTCCCACAGTACCCAACACTGGTAGCTCCCTCCCACAGTACCCAACACTGGTAACCCCCAAGAGTACCCAACACTGATAGCCCCCTCCCACAGTACCCAACACTGGTAGCCCCCCTCCCACAGTACCCAACACTGGTAGCCCCCCTCCCACAGTACCCAACACTGGTAGCCCCTTCCCACAGTACCCAACACTGGTAGCCTCCTCCCACAGTACCCAACACTGGTAGCCCCCTCCCACAGTACCCAACACTGGTAGCCCCCTCCCACAGTACCCAACACTGGTAGCCGCTAGAGTACCATCACCCGGGGGGTGAGTAACTCGACCTACGGAACGACACAGTCGTGATAGAGTGTCAGTTATACCGAATGATTCTCGCAAAAGTTATCGCCGAGATTCACGACTTCTCGACGACCCTCGCAAATTACAGCCACAGGGTGTTCCCAGCTCCTACGACCTCCAGGACGCAAATGTTTCCCACCTCTTACGACCTCCAGGACGCAATGTTTCCCACCTCTTACGACCTCCGGGACGCAATGCTTTCCATCTCTTACGACCTCCAGGACGCAATGTTTCCCGCTTCTTACGACCTCCAGGACGCAAATGTTTCCCACCTCTTACGACCTCCAGGACGCAATGTTTCCCACCTCTTACGACCTCCGGGACGCAATGCTTTCCATCTCTTACGTCCTCCAGGACGCAATGTTTCCCACCTCTTACGACCTCCAAGACGCAATGTTTCCCACCTCTTACGACCTCCAGGACGCAATGTTTCCCACCTCTTACGACCTCCAGGACGCAATGTTTCCCACCTCTTACGACCTCCAGGACGCAATGTTTCCCACCTCTTACGACATCCTAGTACTCAATTCATCCCAAAATTACATTGATCTCATGAACGTAATTTAACGTAAGATAAACTTGTGTTTGACGTAGTTAAGACGCGAGAGTCACAAACACCTTGTGACGTCACCTTCAATATTTCAGTCAATTCTGTATCTTATTTCAGCTCCTCACCAGAAGCTGAGAACATTCTGAAATTAGATTTGGCGACAAAACTCCAGATTTGATTCCTTGGAAATCTTTCTTGATTTCTTTACATTGCGGTATGTAAAGTAGGTGTGTAGATAAGTAGATAAAGTACTGGCATTGTTATATACTGATGTATTTTATGTCATTGTTCTCTCTTCGTAATTATGATTCAAATTACGCTGGATTGAAGACTAAATTTTTTATATTATTTTTACTTTTAATTGTCTACTTATGTGTATGTGTGTCTGTGTATTTACTATTTGTGCTTGCAGGGTCGAGA